GGGTCGGCTCTCGGGTCCCCGCGCCCCGCGCAGTGCTGCGCTCTTGTCCCGCGGGCCCGGCCTCGGCGGCCGGTGCTCGCACCCACTGCCCGCGCCGGGCGAGCGGCGCCGGCCGTGTGGCCTCCTGGTTCTCGGACCCGTTAGCTGGGCAGGGACTTCTTCCCGGGGAGCCCGCCCCTTCTCCCGGCTTCCCGCTCCCCGCCGCGGGGCTTTGTTCTGGGACAGCCAGGGAGGAGGAAAGAAGGGGGCGGGAGAGAATTCTGGGAAGAGCTGCTCCAGAGCCCCATGAGCGAACCCTAGGCAAGACTTTCCTTTTTTTAAAACATACTTTTATTTATTTCAGAGAGGAAGGGAAAAGGAGAGATAGAAACATCTATGATGCCTCCTGCAAGCCCTCCACTGGGGATGGAGCCCACAACCCCGGGCATGTGCCCTTGACTGGAATCGAACCCGGGACCTTTCAGTTCGCAGGCGGACACTATCCACTGAGCCAAACCAGCTAGGGCAAGGCAAGACTTTCTTGCCCCTTGAATATTGCACTGATGGCCTGAAGAGGTTCCCTCGGCTTTGTTTGGAATTTTAGAGGCATAAGATAATCGTAAAACTTTTAAAGCCATCGCTGTTCTCACCTTGTTGGGGACGCGTTTTCGTTTTCTTTTCTTTTTTTCCTTTAGGCTTAAGGCCGCCCGCTGCGACCCTCTTGCGAAATGGGGTTGTGGATGGGACCGGCACCCTCAACCCCTCCAGCTTTCCTGCTGCCCGCGGGGTGTGTCCGGCCGGCCCGGGAGCCCAGAGCGGGCCCCCCTTCAAAGGGCCGAGGCCTCGACCTTCCGGCCCGAGGGAACCCGTCCAGGCCCCGGCGGCGCCCCCGGGCCGGAGCCCGGAGCGGAGACAGAGCGGCTGCGCCCGCCCGGGGCCTTCGGGGAAGCGGCCCGACCCCTGCTCCGTGGGGAGCGCTCGGAGGAAGCGCTTTCCAGGTCCTTCCTTCGGAAGGAAGCCGCAGTTAAGGTCGCGCGCAGTGGGCCCTTTGGAGGAAGCAACACAGGAGCGACCCCCCCACCTCACCCCAAAAGATGGGAGTGGGCGCGGCCTGCGTGTGGCCTGGGTTTGGGGAGTCTGCCCCGGAGGGAGCCCAGCTTCCGAGGCCAGAGTCGCTGCTGGCTTCCCAGAGCTGGAAGGAGCTAGCAGCACCCCGCGCCCCCTTTTGCTCCCCAAAGGCTGGGCCCTTGGGAGACTCCCTGGCCTCCCACTGCCAAAAGGGGGCGAAGGTAGAACCGCCCCGACCTTCCTGCCCTGCAAACGCAGGTTCAGCGCGGCCGCCGCCCCACACACCCGCGAGGGCGGCGTCAGGGTGTCTTGGGGGGAGTGTTCCAGGGTTTCTCCCCAATTAATTGAGGGAGAACAAGGGCATTATTATCACCTGAAGAAATCGATTGCCGGTTGCCCCACCGAGGCCTCGCTAGACATTTGTGTCCCGTCCCATCCCCTCCAACCCCCCCATTTCATTTTGAAGCTGGCCAAAGACAGATGCCCAGAGGCATGGTCAGGGTGAGAGCTGAGAAGTTCATATGCTGGGAAAGAGGCCTGTTTTTTCTACATTCAAAGGGCTTTCTGCACGCACCACCCCCTCCCGCTTCCAGCGTCACCGCGGTTGAGATTAAAAGGACAACATAGGAACCCTGACCTCCGCCTCCATGAGAATCCAGCAAAGCAGAAAATGCCCTGATGTATATTACACAATCCGGACAATATGAAACTGTCCCTTTGATTGTTTCTGGAGGTGAGGACCAGCTGGCAGGACTCCCAGATTTGGAGTCAGAACATCCTCCTTTTCTCTGCAAAGGACACCTGCATGCCTCCAGCTGTTTGGTAGATACACCCTGACACTGTGCTGCCACGGAAAAAAAACAACAACACATTAGGCACATGATCTTTCACTGTTACTATCTGTCACCACACTACCCAGCTATTTGTGGCTTGAAAACACACACCCCATCCACCCAAAGCAGAACACGAGTGGGCCCGGCCTAGTGAGATTACATTTATTTGAAATCCTTCCCCCCTCCCTGTCCCAATGTCTTTGATTATTTTTCCCAGAAGTGTGTAAGCTGTCGGGGACTTAGAAGCAGGCTGCTCGCTCCTCCTAAATGTGATTCGGACCATATGCTTTCCACATTCATCCCCGCTTCGGCTTTTCTTCTCCGCACTAACTGCTAACAACGTTATAGTCACCTTGAAATTTCCTCTGCTATTTTCCAATTAAAAGCTTAATAGCCCTGGAAACGGAGTTCATGTGGTGAAGTTTACCAGAGCCCCTTGTTCGGGAGGCTTTCTGCTGGGATCCCATTATGTGCTTGAATAAACCCTTTCTGCAAACAGAAATGGGACTCGGGGTTGTCAGGTGTTGGGTTACAATAGACTCGGAGGCAGGGGACATTCCACCAACATAAATACAAACCTGTCCCTATAGGGAGATGTTGTCAAATACTGGGATATGGAAAACATTCCCATCAAATATGAGAAAAGGATTATTACGCTATGTCAAACGAGTATTTAGCTCTCAGCCCCCGATGTGCACTGGAGTGGACCAGCCAGGGACCAAATAATGCCAAACTCTTGTTTTGAGTGGCCAAGGGGATAGGGTGGCTAGGGAGGAAAGGGGGTTGCCTAACAAGTGGGACTGTCTCTCCGTCCCCAAAACTTGGTGCCCAGGTCTGCTGTTTTCATTAAAAAGAGAAGGGAAAAAAAAGATTTATTCCCAAGGACTTTATAGTCCCCGTTTCGCTGACCATTTGGAGAAACTTCGGAGAAATTGGACTTTGAAAAAAGCCCATGGTCCCTTGCCCCACACCATCCGAGGCCAAGAGACCTCCAGAGATTTCAGGGAGAACTAATGGCTCCCAGACTCTGTGTCATTCTCCCGGTTTCAGTGTCATTCTCTCTCTCTTTGTCACGTGGAGCGACTCCCTGCCAGCTCCCCACTGCCTGGCCTCTGGCCCACTGGGCTGCGGGGGATCTACCTCCAGCCCCGGAGCTTACCAAATCCCTCACAGTCTTAGTGTGTTAGGGCCTGTTTTCCTAGCGAAGACTGGGGGGGGGGGGGATTGAGGTGGTGATGGTGGTGAGGGGTGGGGATGGCAAGAAGACAGATTGGGTTCCTGCCCCAGGCGCTTTGTGTGTGTGTGTGTGTGTGTGTGTGTGTGTGTGTGTGTGTGTGTGTGTGAGGCCTTCCAGGGTTAGCATTCTCCTGCAGGAGCTTCCTGCCCAGGCCCCACCGGGTCAGCACCCTGTGATCCCCAACTCCCTGAGAGGTCTGACCCGGAGGTGGCTTCTAGGGGAAGCACACAACCGGGTTCCCTTTTTAACCCCTTTTTTTTTTCCTGCACCCCCTACCCCCAATCACTGTTCTGCGGTGGGGTGGGGGTTGGCTACTTGAATTCGCTGAAAACACTGAGGGACATTTTCCGGTAGCTTGTCTGTTTCCAGGCGGAGGAAAGCACCCCACCCTCCCCCCAGGGGAAAAGGCGAGGCCAGAGGGTTGACCTTTGCAGGGGACCGGTCCGCGCTCTCTGCCCGGGTTGGATTATACCCGCCCCGCCGCCCGGCTGCCACCTCCCCGCTCCCCATCCAGCCCTAGTGCCGCCCCCAGGCCCTGTATGCACCATATCCACCTGTATCTGGTTTTGTGCTGTTGGGGGAGGGATGTTTTGTCGTTCCTGTGTGTATGGCAGCAGTCTGCATTAGGCCAAAAGGGTAAGCACTCTTAGGAGATGAGAACCCAACAAGTAACAAATTAAACAAAGTTTTATGCTGTCATCTTGGGCAGGGACCCCTTCCACGCCTTCCCAAAGGCAACAGGGTGTGGGGAGAGAGAAATGCCGCCACCCCTAGCCATAGAGTCCGCGGGGGTTTGGATTGGGGGATGCGGGTCTCCTTTGGGTGGGTCGGTGGCTATTAGGCAGAGGGGAGATCGGATCCAGTAATTTCTGAGCGTTATCATGGACCCCAAGTCCGAGCTGAAAGTTCAGACCCAGCACGTGAGAAAGTCCTCCGCAGGAGCGCAGGAGCGTGTGTTGATTAAAACTTGGGGGGAAGGAGGGTACAGGAACCAACTGGGGTGGGCTATGCCAGCAAAATGGGGTTGTTATCCTTGGGCCAACAAGTGTTCAAAAACGTTTTCTTTTGCAGCAGCATGATTTTGTTTTTTAAAGTTGCAAAAAGATATACAGAGACAACGTTTCTGGAATCCGTGCCGCGGTGGGTGCTGGTTCTCGCGGAGCCGAGTTTCCGAGGCCAAGTGTTGGCATCACAGCGGGCTCTGCGCCGCCAGACCAAACCTGGAGGGAAGGCCGAGCAGGGGGGCGGCCCCCTCACTCTCCCGCGGGCACCCGCACCCTCTCTGCGCCCGGTGAGCAACGGGGCACGCGAGCACCAGTCTGTGCGGCCGGGGAGGGCGCAGCGCGGAGGGGCGGGCGCAGGGGCCGTGACTGCCCCCGGGGGAGCCGCCCGCCCGGCCGCAGGGGGCACGGGAGGCGCCGTGAGCGACTCCGGGGGCGCCAGGCAGGAGGGCGGCGGGGAGCGGGGTGGGGAGCGCCAGGAGCCTGGGACCGGCGGGGGGTGCGGGGGAGGGCGGAGGAGGGGGGGGGCGGGGGAGGAGGTGCCGCTCGGGCCGGCCGCGCGCTGCAACTTGGGCCAAGCTGGCTTAGACCGTCACCAGCGCCGCCGCCGGCACCTCGCAGCCGCCGGAGCGCTCGGCGCGGGAGGACCTGCCGGCCGAGCGGCAGCTGCGGAGACGCGGCCGGCCGGCCCGGGGTTGGCGGAGCCGCCGCCGGAGGGAGGTCCGGGCTGCGAGCGCCGCGGGAGATGTGAACCCGCCGCCGCACCTCCAGCCGCCGCCTCGGGACGCACGCGGCCGCCCCAGAGCGGGTCTCCCAGCCCCGCCGTCCCGCTCCCGCCGCCGGCCCGCCCGCCCGCCCTTCGCTCTCCGGGGAGCCCGGGGCATGAACGGCTACGGCTCCCCGTACCTGTACGTGGGCGGCCCGGTGTCGCAGCCGCCGCGGGCGCCCCTGCAGCGCACCCCCAAGTGCGCGCGCTGCCGCAACCACGGCGTGCTGTCCTGGCTCAAGGGCCACAAGCGCTACTGCCGCTTCAAGGACTGCACGTGCGAGAAGTGCATCCTCATCATCGAGCGGCAGCGCGTCATGGCGGCGCAGGTGGCCCTCCGCCGGCAGCAGGCCAACGAGAGCCTCGAGAGCCTCATCCCCGACTCGCTGCGCGCCCTGCCGGGACCCTCGCCGCCCGGGGACGCCGCCGCCCCGCAGCCGCCGACGCCGAGCCCGCAGCCGGCCCCGCCGCCGCGCCCCGCCGCCGAGCTGGCCGCCGCCGCCGCGCTGCGCTGGGCCGCCGAGCCCCCGCCCGGGCCGCTGCAGCCGCCGCTCGCCAAGCCCGGTAAGACCGCTGCGGGCGAGCGGGCGGGAACGCGGGGAGCTCCTGCTGCAGCTCTGCTGGTTTGGGGAAGGTTTGGGGACGGTTTGGGGAAGTGGGGGCCTGGCCCGGCCTTCCTCTCCAAACTTGGCCTCGCCGGTTCCTATTCTCGGGGCAGCCGCCGGCTTTCCCTCTGCCTCCGGGAGGGGGAACTCGGACGCCCGCGAGGAAGGCGCCTGGGGCTCCAGCCAAACTTCGGGACTGTGCGGAGGGTGGCTAAGGAGGTCGTGACGGGTCCAAATGGACACCCACGCGGGCGTGCCCACCGCCGTGCTGAGGGGTGCCCCGCCTTAGGGCTTTTTAGAGAGATTGGAACCTGTAGGTGCAGGACTTGGCGGACTCCGAGTCGGGCGTTCTTTTGGTCCGGCCCCCAGGGAACTGGAGCTAACCCCAAGCCTGTCTGGTAGCGCGCTGTGGTCTGCAGCGACTTGCACTTTGTTGAAAGAAGGCTCATGTAGAAGCGATAGTATACAAAAGGCCAGGAAGGCTTCTAAATGGATAGGGAGGACCCAGAATCTGGTGTGGCCACTGTGAGCTGCTTTTGCAAAATTGCTCAAGTCTTTCAATAGGTTCCTCAGGCCGCCTTCAGCTGCCTCTGAGGTTTAAAGAAATACAAACAAAACTGGACCTGCGGCCAGGCCATAGCCGGTCTGGCTCAGTGGATAGAGTGTCCGGCCTGTGAACGGAAGGGTCCTGGGTTTGATTCAGTTAAGGGCACATGCCCGGTTGCGGCTAGATCCCCAGTTGGGGGTGTGCGAGAGGCTCTGGATCAGTGATTCTCTCTTATCATTGATGTTTCTGTCTCTCTCACTCTCTCCATTCCTCTCTGAAATCTTAAATATATATATATATATATATATATATATATATATATATATATATATATATATATATATATATTTTTTTTTTTTTTTTTAAATCAAACCAACCAAAAACTTAACCTGCCGTGGGAAGGTCACATCTGGAGAGCCGTTTCCCAGGTTCTAGTAGGCTTGGACCTCATGCTGTAAGATAAGGAGCAGAGACTAAGACTCTTGCTTCCCTTACCTGTGCTTGCTCTTCTCTCCTCTTCTCCTACGTGGTGCGTTAGAGAGAGTGGGTCTGCCCTGAGCTCTGGAGGTGGACAGATTTCTGACCACCCCGCTGCTTCCATCCCTTTCCCTACTCCAGGTCTCTGGTCTGCAAACACCAGATGAGGCTCTTTTCTCCTGCGAATCTCTACCTCGCCCTCCTGCCCAACCCAAGCATTCCTTTGATTGTAGGCTCTTGGAATTCAACTGACCTGTGTTTGGTGTGGCAAATAGGAAAGAAAAGGAAAAGGACCGATCTTCTCAGGGAGGGGCTAAAGGGGTTTGTCTGAATTTTTCTAGGGAGAGTCTGATAAGGCCTAGAGCCCCAAAGGTAGGACTGTGATAGAACTTCTGACACTTCCCCCCCAACACACACACTTCCAGGGAGTTTGTGGAAGTCTGTAAAAGCTTCTGGCTTTTGGAGAGGGGCTTTCAGCGGCAGCTGACTGATGTGTGGAGCTGGGGAGATGCACTCACTGGTTTGGGGGTGAGTCCACAGGCAGCCTTGCAGGTCCAGTCCTGCTGCCCTGAAATTTTTGGATATTTGACCCAAAGTACCTAGGATGTAAGCAATTTCTCCTTTGAGTCATGCCCGCCCACCCCTGTTGTCTCTCTCCTTTCAATCTGATCTCTCCATACGTGTAGGTTTGCCACAGAAGAAGAGGAGAGGGAGAGAGAGGTTTATGCTGCCTTTCTCCTTTAGGTTAGCACAAGTCACCGGGAGTGTTTTGTCTCGCTTCTCGAAGTCGATGCATGCCAATAACTTTGAACCGCAGCTGCCTGCAGAGCGGGAGCCTCAGTGTCTGTCGGTAGAAGGTAGCATTTTGCAAGGCCACCTACCCAGCAGCACTGCTGTAACAACAGGGCTTGGAGGTTGGGTGTCTCGGTTCAGGAGGAGCTGCTGCCCACGTCCTGTGTGCCCTTCCGACCATTCCGCGGGATACCCCGAGCCCATGGTTCCTACAGTGTCACAAGACCGAAAACAACCCAGGAGGAGGGTAGCGAGGGCCGGAAGCAGGCGGAGCAGCACCTTCGGCAGCAGCAGGAGGACGCAGGTTTGAGAGAATGGAAGGAGGCTGATGCCACTGGAGGGAGACCGGTGCCCTCTCTTTTATTCTGAGTGCTCAGGGATAGCCCGAGCCCTCACATCCAGAGCAGGCAGTGCACAGGAGAAGAGGATGTGCCACAGGGAGAGGTCAGGGTGGCTGGTGGCTTTGGGAGACTGAGCCCTCAGGGTCCAAGGGCTCGGTTTCTAGCTGGTCACGTTACATACCTTATACCTTACACGCTCATGTATATGACTTTTATTTTCTTCTTTCAGCTGGTTTGGCCCTCTAATTCCATTAAAAATGCCAATCAGCCCTAACCGGTTTGGCTCAGTGGATAGAGCGTCAGCCTGCGGACTTAAGGGTCCCGGGTTCGATTCCAGTCAAGGGCATGTACATTGGTTGTGGCACATAGTCAGTAGGGAGTGTGCAAGAGGCAGCTGATGGATGTTTCTCACTCATTGATGTTTCTAACTCTCCATCTTCCTCTTTTCCTCTCTGTGAGAAATAAAATATATTTTAAAAAGCAATAAAATAAAATAAAATGCCTATCATCAAGCCCATGATGTGGGTGGTGGCACAAGAAAAAACACACACAGAGTAGTTGTTCTCATGAGGAAGGCGAGCGTGCAGGTGGATCTGGAAGAAAGTCCGTTTGGAGTGGACGTGGAGAGAAACTGCCCGGGCGAGACTACTGGTTGCTTGTATATATCTACCTTCCTGCAGTGCTGCTTATTCGATCTTTTTGTATGTAGCCTACCATGCATAGTGGGAAGGAGATCAGATACTGCCAGACACGTAGCTCACCGCGTGCAGAGAAGCAAGTGGAGCCCTGTTCCCACGGTAGGTCAGCATGTCCCAGTAAGGCCCCAGACCATTAGGAACCCGTGTCTGCTGGCACAGGATGGGCATTGGCGCCATCCCTGTCATCTCTGTGTCCAGGTTGGCCCTTACAAAAAGGGCTGTTTCACCGTGGAAATTTCGTCGTCGTCGTTAGCTACAGTGCAGGTGAAAAGCGCATGCCCTGGAGCAGTGTTTCCCAAACTTTTGACATATGTGTACCCCTTCTATAATTTTCCTGACGCTGAGTCCCCCTCGTACTCATGAGGACGTAGAATTAGGCGCAGCTAAGCCCGGTGCAGTGCATATCCCCACCAAACTCCGGTGCAACGTGTACCCCCACCAAACTCTTCCCGTACCCCTGGGGGTACGCGTACCACACTTTGGGAAACACTGCAAAGGCCTGCTTGCTGGGCACCGCCCTTGAGAGGCCCCGGCTGTTCAGGGAGCGCCACATCAACACCAAAACTCAGCTTTGTGACCGGAAGAAACGTCTCCTCCAAGTTCTGCTTCAGATCCTGTAAAGGACTGGAGTTATTTTATCTAATGGTGTCGCCTGTTAAGACCATCCCTTTCCCCCCCGTGGTGACGGTTTTAAGGAGAATTTACATATTCTAATGTTACTATTTCTAGCTCTGGATCGAAGCATTCTCTCTTCTTTTGGGGTGTACATTCCCCCCTGCTCCTTGATTATCATCTATGACTGGCCTGGGATTCCGAGATCCTTTTAAACCCCAAATTATAATGTAAGCTTCTTTACCTAGGTGCCACTGATTCACTTAATCTCCTGAATCCCCTCTTCATCCCCCTCACACCCTTCCCCGTCCCCCATGGAAATACGCTGGGAAGTGTGGCATCTCTCAGCACTCAGTGCTTCTGAGTCAGCAGCCCGAACCAGCCAAGCCAGCCTTTCAGGCCCTGGGCTCCGGAGCTGAGGAAAGTTAAGGGTGAACGCCAAGGTGAGAGCTAAAGTTACACCCCTGTGTGGCGGCTCCCTTTCCCCAGCCCCACCATTTCCCTCAGGGGAGAGAGTCCTGGGCAAGATCTCTAGCTGTAGGTTCCTCCTCCGTCAGCATCTGTCATCAAAGCAAAGATGTGCACTAGGTCTCTAACGTTTTCTTAAAGGAAAAAGAAATAAAAACCATCCTATTTTGGTTAGGAGTAGGAAGACAGGACCAAATAGGAGAGTAGGGTCTCCCTTCCTGTTGATTTCTCCTGAAAGGGGTGGGTAAGAGAAGTGTAGTGAGAGAAGTTGGGAGTTTTTGAAAACTACCTTTATTTTATTTTACCTCCTGCCCGGTACCGAATAGCATCTTTATATGTGCTCTGCCTTTCAGCTCCTGCTTCCCTGGGTCCTGTCCAGGCTATTTCCTTGTTTTAAATTTAATTTACAAAAAAAAAAAAAAAAAAAAAAACAGGCAGACATGCCTGCAGGGATAATGAGTGTCACCAGATCACCGGTCCAGGCGGGGATGGGGAACCAGGCGGGATGGGGACTGCTCTGAGCTGGTGGTGTTGGCCAGAAGGAAACTCAAAGGTGGGAAAGACGTCAAGGTCCCTCGCGCCCTGTGCCCCTGAACTTACACACACCGCGTCTGGTTTTACAAAAGCATCCTTTGGGGCGAGGGGCTGGACTCAGAGACGCACTGTAAAAAACAAAAGCCACTCAGATGAAAAGGAATACATGATCCTGTGCTGCTGGTCTCTCCCACACCGTCCCCCAGGGCTGGTCCCAGGGGCAGGGCGCTGAGGATAGTCACAGTTTCTGGAGGCACCCATCGCCCATTTCCTTTGCTCCTGGGGCCCTGCCTGGGGGTGGGGGGTGGAGGTGGGTGTGGGGGGGGAGGTGGGGGAGTGGTAGGCAGCCCAGCACCTTGCATGTAGGGTGGTGTGCTCTCCACCTGTGGGAGCAGCCATGGCACAAGGGCCCCATCGGAGGCAGGAGAGTCCCAGCGAACGTGTGTTAAGGGGCAGTTGTGGCTGCACTGGATACTGCCCCTTGCCAGTC